ACAGCACCAAATTCCTGTGGGTGCACATCACAGACTCCCTCACCTGGACTGGAAACACCACCTCACTGATCAAAAGGGCCCAGAAATGCTTGGACTTCCTGTGGAGGATGAGGAGAGCCCACCTGCGTTTTTTGCACCATGTTTTTTTCTCCCACAATGTTTACGTTTGATCACTGCTGCACTTTAAGAAAATGAAAATATCATGAGATCTGTACAAAACGAAATATAATTTTTGTATAGACTTTGTGCATACAAAATGACAATAAAAGTTGTCTAGGTCTGGTGCTCCCTTTATTTAGTTAGTAGTTAGCTAGTTCTTTAAATGGTACAGCCACCACGAGAACCCGCCGTACACTGTGCGATTTTTATTTTTTTTTTTTCAGTTGTTGCACGCATCTACTGCTCACACTGTATGACTAACCGCAGAGTTTAGTCGTACAGAGTGAGCTCACAGCTCAGGATTTATTCGGCCCGACGTTCTCATGCGATCTACCTGCTCACACTGCATGACTTAAAACCACGTCAGACTCGACTCGGCAGTGAGATGGCGCTGCTCTGACTCGTCTATCCGGAAGCCAAACCAGCAGAAGAGTAATATGAGGCTCTTTATAGTGAAACTCCCTGCCTTGGAAATTTGTGTAATTTTCTGCTGAAAGCCCTAAAAAGAAAAGGCGACGACGTATTTGGACGAAGACCTGGCTGAGCAAACATGGCTACTACGGTCTGTCAATTTTACAGACAGAATTCCATTTCACTTGCATCCCTGCCATGCTGCTGTGTTTACATCTGAGAGGAAGAAGAAAAAGAAAATCCTTGTTTGCGCCCTCAGCGATTTGCCCATGACGGTTTGATTTTTCTCCCGACCTTGCGATTCCTAATCGGGAGGTGGTCGTGGGAGGCGTATCGTCCCGCGTAACCCCCTGTACATTACACGACTCACAACGCACGATCAGGCTAAAAGTCGGCCCGATCCAATGATTCTCGCACGACTGGAAAATCGCACAGTGTACGCCCTGCTTAAAGGATGACAGGAGAACTTCAGGTCCAAACTTTCTGTAAAAGAGCTGAGAGTGCTCTACAAGAAATACAGAAGAGGAAATAAATGGAAATTATCATTTACACCTGCTATAAAAAAACTATTTCTAATTTGTCCAGCAGATGGCAGCAAGAGACCACAAATAAACCACATTATTATAATCTAACCCTTTAAGTTGCCAAATATGTTAAAGTTGCACAGATCCTGCTGGTGTACTGACCAAACTTACATTTTAACCATTTACTCGCTCCCAGTGTCCTAAATAAACAGTTCTGGACAGTCTATAATGATTTCTTCATCAATTTTCTGCTCATCTAACACTGAACATATGCTCTTACAACAGCAATGGCTATTGGCAGTTTGAGATTACACTACCAATTACGCCTTACATTATTCAAACACCTTCTGAGCTCTTAAAGTGATACACACACAGTTATATTAGTTCATTTTCAACACCTTTGTTCAATTTTCTGACGTACTTTTTTATTATTTTTTTTTTAGACCTATAGTTTAGGGTATTTTGTCCTCTTGGAAGTGCTTTCTCCACTCGTTCCTTCCCACAGCATGACGCTGCCACTGTTATGGCTTACCATGGGCATGACGTGCTCTGAGGATTTACAGCATTAATTTATTTCCTTGGTCATCTGATCAGAGTGTAATGTGACCAAATTTGTGAAACGGAATAAATATTTTAAAAGGATTTTTAGATTTTTTTATATCTGAATATATTTTCTATGCTAAAACCTTATAACAGTCTGTGGAGGCATAAAATGTTTTACTGAATGGGGCCGTCTGCCCCTCAGGTACTGGCTAAAGGGCCCAAAGGCTGGAAGCAAGGAGGTCATTCTGGACAACATGATCGGTTACCCTGACAACATCCGCCTTAGCGACCACGGAACTTTCCTGGTTGGCATAACGACGCCGCGTTTTCAGAAGTTCCTGCCTCCTTTCCTGGACATGATCGCTCCGTACCCGGCGGTGAAACGCTTCCTGGCAAAGGTCTGCATGTTTTCTGTTAAAACTCCAAATGCACAAATTCTTTTAGGAACACTTGTTGATTAATCAGGTGATAATTCCTTTTTGCTACTGTGAACCTTGAATAATCACAGATCACTGCTGTAGTTTTGTTCTTTAAATGTAATCTCTGTGTCTAGAAAGTCTGGAAATCGATTTCATTGCTTCCAGGCCTGGATAAATGTGGAAAGAAGGATGTACAGGACCATTAATCTTTAGTTCTTTCCATCCTCTCTTCCCCCCTCATCGTGTCCTGTCTTGTGTCTTTTACTTATTTTATATTTTCTTACCTTATTCTGACTCAAACTCAGGAAAGGAAGGAAATGTGAAATTAATATAACCTCTATGTCCTACCTTCCTTTATTTATTGTTTTTCCTCTTTCCTCTGTTTTTGTGTCCTTTCTTAGTTTCTTTCTTCCTTTCCTTATATTGTGAACTTGCCTTTCCCTCCTTTCTTTGTCCTCTTCCTGTGTCGTCATTTACTTCTTTTCTCCCACCTTTCTTTCTGAACTCCTTCCTTTTTTTTCAGTCTTTTCCAGGTTTTTATGTATATATTAGATCTAGGGCTGCAACTAACGATTATTTTGCAAATTGATTAGTTTGTCGAATCTTTTTTTGAATAATCGATTAATAATTGGATAGCCAAAGATTCCTTGAAGACTTTTTGTGAAATTAAACCAGGTGAAATATGCTGTATCTATGGATAGAGCATATTGATAGAGGATTTTTTTTTTTTTTAAATCTTAAATGGAAAATGTTTACAGTTTTTTTTATTTTTATTTTTTTGTTTAACAATTTGGGTGTAATTACTGCTCAAAGTGGGTTCCTCTGTCAGCTAAAGGCATGTTTTATAGTCTCTATATTCACAATAGATTACTAAATTAGTTGACGATTATTTCAATAATCAATTGATCACATTTAATCTGATTGTTTCAGCCCTAATCTCATCCACTGTGGAATATTTGCTTTTGTATTAAGAAATGAGCTCAAATAACTCTGGAAATATCAGTTCTTTATAAATGTGCCTAATCCCAGTATAAACCGGTCATATTTCTGTTCCTGTTGGTGCAGGTGGTTCCTCTGAGCTGGTACAACCTCCTGCTGCCGCGCTACGCTCTGGTCCTGGAACTGGGGATGGACGGACAAATCATTGGAACGCTTCACGACCCTGAGGGCCGTCTAACGTGGGCCATCAGTGACGTCTTTCAGCACAGAGGCAGAACCTATCTGGGCAGCACTGACTTGCCGTTCCTGCCCATCCTGGAGGCCTGGGACAGCTGATGATGGCCTGTGGCTACATGAGCACAGAGACTGTCGAGGTTAGACGTGTCTGAAGGTGCTTCGAACCAGGATCCTGTAAACCTATTTACAGATGAAGCATAAAATACCTTTAGATCCAATACTTAGTCTTTTAAATACTCTAGATCAGAGGTCTTAAACAGGGGGTCCGCGACCCCTAGGGGGTCCGCAGAGGTACTGCATGGGGGTCGTGAAAGTCTTGGTTGATTAATTTTTTTAATATTCCCTCCTGCAATTTTTTGCACTAATTAAAATGTCTTTAAATACACATTAACACGAATTCAACAGACTGTAGTAAACAGATAAATGAAAGCAGAAGATGTCTTTCAGTCATTAATGCACACATTCAGCGACACACAGGAGCTCTTTCAAGATGGGCACCGTTTCATTCACAACACCTGTCCCATCAACCAGGAATCAGAATCAGAAATACTTTAATAATCCCAGGGAGAAAGGACTTTCGTTACATGACTCCATATGTAATAGAGTGACTATAGGACCAGTTTGATAGAACACAATTTCATACAATATATATAATTAGGGGGTCCCCGCTCCATCTCGCAATCAGTTTGGGGGTCCTTGGCCTCGAAAACGTTGAAGACCCCTGCTCTAGATCAAAGTTGCTCAGATAGTCTGAGGTCTTAAAAGGAGCCAGATCAACAAATATGCATAGAGGATTTTATTTGTTTTCTCTAAAAACCCCAAACTTGCCAATTAACTGTTAATTTAGCTAAATTTCTGCTTTTTTGGGTTAAATGTTTGCCTTAAATAAACATTTAATTTTTAGTTTAAATAAATAAATATATAAAAGCCCAAATCTGACTATTAGGAGAGAACATAAACATCTTTAGCTAAAAGATTAGATGCTGTTATAGTTTTAATTCTTTTCACATCTCTTAAAGGGACTTTATGATCTGCCACTGTAAATAACTTAGAAGGAAATGAAAATAATTCTTTTACAGTGAGGGTTTCTTTATTTAAACAAAACTAGAAAAAATACAGAAATCTCTGGACATGTAAAAGTGCCATTTTTTCTACTCGGCTTGAAAAAAAAACATTTAGCATGTTCACAACAGTCTGGAAAAACATCAGTAGCAGCTGGTCAAGCTTTTCTGGATCAAATTTTTCTAACAGGAATTTCAAAAGATGCAATTTTTAAAGGACTTTAACATTTACAAATACAAATCAGTTATTTAAAATAAAAGCATACATTGAAATGAGTTACACTATCATTTCTTTTCCTGTAACAATGGCAGCTATATTTGCTGTGATCAGTGGGTAAAAAATAGTTTTAATCTATTTTGAAGTGAGGAAGTCCACCTGAAGACATTGTCAGTGCAGTCAGTTCATCCAGATTACCATCCTGCCATCAAAAATTATTTTTGTCGGAGCCGCTCAGACCCCCGTACACCAGCGGTGCATTGTCACTAGGAATCCCATTCAACAGCAGCCTCTGGCCCGGTCGCCTCCTCAATGTTTGCCGCAGCGGAGGCGAGCGGCTGGAAGGCATTTTTTATGTACATAATCCAAACTGCAGGCACCAGGATAATAAATATGAACATGTTTTGCCGGCCGATTTCAGCGTTTTAAGATAATTTAGGCCTTAATAAACCGTTTCAGAGGAGCGATCATAGCACTCTGAATCATCAGTGTTGCTCTAGATGCACTGTAGACAGCATGCGCGTTCATGTGATTTGAAGGCGTGGTTTCGAGGGATGGTCTGAAGGCAGAGGCATGGTTGTGTATGTTCAAAAATAAAGCTTGCTGGAACCGTTTTTCCAAGATCTCCTACAGCACCCTTAAATATTACTTAATTTAGAATAAGTCCAGATTAGATAGGTACAGCTAAACAACATATGATATAAAGAATATCAACATGACATATGATCAGTGCACCAAAGATCCTTCTGAGGTCCGTTTCAAGAAGCAGGTTTAACAAACTCTGATTCAAATCTGTAACTCAAATTAATCTACCCTAAGGTCAGGAACTGTGAGGTTTCGGGTTTCACAGCAGCTTCTATGAATTAGTTCTATAAACTCAGAGTATCCCCTCCTCTGTTCT